TTAATTGTTGAGCATTTCGGAACGCGAAATGTTTTTGAGAGTTAGTACGATATGAAAACTCTTGTTCTTTGGAGTTTTAGAGGATTATTGTATTTGTGCAGTGCAAAGAGGAATTAATCCTTTGCGGATGAGGATTTTTGAAAACATTGAAAACCCTACGCAGAGGAAGTTAAATTGCATAGCGGAGTGTTGAATGCCAGAGGAAAATGAATAGTGATATCTTGTTATTTGAACAAATCTATTGTTTACAACTTTATATTCTAAATATGGAAGTTTGTTGTCGCTAAAATGATGAAATTCGTTCTCAAATGGTTACAAGATCTGCATATAGAAACATGTGATTCTTCGTGCAGAAGGAAGTGATGTAATGAAGTTAACTTAGGTGAAAGGTACCAAGATGTGTTGTTACCGGAGAAATGAATTAAGTTGCCAACTGAATTGCCAAGTATGTTCATTATAAAACAGCAAAAAATTCTCGCTGCATTCGTAAAAGGTCTGAACAATCAGCTAATAAACGAAGAGTTTAAAAATCACCGCCATAAAGGCAGACACTTTGAATCCAGAAATTACGAGGACTGCCTGGCCACGTTCGCTGTGCTGCGGGCGATTATGTAAATCCTCGTTTTAAGTAGACTTTGATCTGCTCTCGCGATGGTTTCGGTGGTTGGAAAGTAAATTACAGCTCTACCCAATTCCGCTTCGTCGTTTCCTGGAACCTTAGGAAACGTATAAGAATCTGTGGTCCAGTGTATCGCGGATAGCAAAGAAGCTACGCGCAATCAAGCGACCGGGATGAAAAACAACGAAGTTTGCAAGCTGTTTCGCAATCTCTGGCGAGGACGCGCTGTAACCGAAACAATGGGACGCCGTGATAGGGCCGAGATTGTCGTTGGAACAACAACTTCCGCGTCTTACGGCGCACCGGGCAGGAAGCTCGCGACAACGGCAGCTTCTCGACGGAATTTACGTAAGCCCGTCGTCTGCCGGCTAGTTGTAGCGAAGTCTCAATACTAGTTCGGATTGACAGACTTTGTTTGTGGACTGTCTACGTACAGTGTCTACCGATAATTGAACGATGTTGTTGGATACTGTGTATATAGTACACTGATGAAAGTTAGGTTTAACCACTGGCACTCAAGAGATGACTGTAGCTTGACGCTTGATTTGATGTAGGGGAATTATAAAATTTCATACTCAATATTAAATTTAATTTAATGCGATTAGATATGAAGTATTGAAATTAAATTGTGATATCTCTTGATCCGTGTAAGTCTTCTGTATGATATTAAACTTTATGAAATGTTTTTGTACAATGCATCGATAAGCGAAATATTGAATGAAAATCTGTCGTCTATATGTCATCGGAAAATGTTGAATATTTCTAGTGAAAAGCTTTCAAGTGTAAGGGGTTAATTGGTCGCGGTGGACAAGGGCTCTTTTCAAATGAATTTTCGGCAGTAATACTCCATTCGCTGGTTCAATCACACGGCAATTAATCAATACCGTAAACAAAACAGAAAAGGACGACTACTGCCCATATGCTGACCGAGAATCAACTTTTCATGCGTTAATGTTAAATTAATGTCACCAATCATGTTTCAACGTGAGCTTGCTAACGCGGTTCACAGTGCACACGTGTTCTGAAATTTGCGGCGAAAGGAACGGGAAGTTATTGACCATTTGCGGTCGAATACCGTTGTAATGGCAGCTTCGAGCTTCAATATGTAAAATTGAAAGCTACAAATGAATAATTTAATTATTTAAACGAGAGGTGTTCGATATGCTTTCTTCCTTTCCTAGTATTTCAGACTTCGATGCATAATTCAGTTTTCTGTGCAAAGACTTTTTAGAAGATCAAAAAGTTCTCTTAAACTTCGAGAAGTTTTTTTGTGCAAGTAATTCTAGAATACATTACGAATAATATATTTCCACATTTCATTTTGAAATATTTTCAAAAGACATACATATATTATTACCTGAAGACATCTCTAATAAGGAAAAACCATTTTATCCTTTTCAAAAAAAATTGTGTGCGACACAAAATGGGTTAACACTAGAGGATCGTTTAACATGATTAATATGTAATTCTTATAAAAATTGTAATAATAAATTCCTTTTCGGTTTCTTTATATATTAATTACAGTATTCAAGTGAAACCATTTATCTTCCAAATGATTTCGTATATTTGACGCTTTTAAGGTACCAATAACTGCGAAATAAGAAAACTGAGACTAGTCATTCTGACAGGTACGATAATTTTAGTGTAAAATAAAATAGAAGCCAAAAATTTCATCAATTTATCCGTGGACTGTTCCAAGCCATGTTTTGTGTCTATCCTCGGATACGTGTCTGAGTAAATCGTTCCTCAGTCTAGACAAGCCTCCGGATTTATTCGAGGGCTCTCACAAAATTCGGTCAATGATCGAGCATATTTTTCACGCTGCTACCGTAACATTGCGAGGGATTCTCCCATGGGCTCGGGAATCGAGTTTCACGTCTCGTTAACCGCACGATGATCCTGTTACCATCGGTTCTAGATGGAATTTCCGTTGAATGGAAGTCGAGGCCGCAACGGAACTCGGGACAAAAGCGAAACTGGTACGCGATACCGAGACACGGGCTAAAAATCCTTTGTTCGTTAAACAGCAATCTCGATTAACCGCCTCGTTGCCAGAAATGGTAACCCAGAGCAATGGGAAAACAGACGAACTCTTTCGGAAATGAAATTCTCCCTCTAGCCACCGAAAATCTTCTGCTATTGCGGTTACGTGTACAGAGATAAAAAGCTAGATAAGAAACAGAGAATGCACTCCTCTAGCGATCTGTTCGTATCGTAAATTCGCCTCGATACACAGTCGTAAACAGTCGGAAAGTATTGAACTTGCCAAGCTCCGTGTCATTCGTTTGCTTCTTTACGTCTCCCAGGTAAATTCACGCTCGCGCAATTCCGAGATCGAACGAATTGCATGAGAACTATTCCTACGCTGAACACACTCGGTTTCTTCTTCGAAAAAGGGACATAACCTTAGCTTCGAGGAATATAAATCTACGTCAAGGGAAGATACAGTGGGAAGATAGAAAATAAATATTCAAATAAGTACTCAGACGACCCACTCGTAATCGTCTCAGTCAGTTGGTGCCTCGAAAAAGCCAAGTTAGCAGCTAGGTCGTCACGACAGGCTTCATTTTGTATAAAGTTTGCGTTCGCGAGATGAATTTTCCATGGGCGCGCGTCAGTGTTTTCGCAGCTTCGGTGACTGAAGAATTCATAGCGCCCCGGTAATTCAATTTTCCCCGATACACCTTGGAGCGAAGACAAATATTAGAACCCGTGTCTTGCGTCGATGTAATTCGGTGCGACGTTACCTGGTTAATGGGAATCACTACGAAACGAGTGAGCCTTTCTCATTTCAATCATTTCCAATTCCCTCTCCGGGCTTGCCGGTGTATGCTCGCTGCATCAGACCGGATGTAACGATATTGGAAATCCGGAGAACCGTCAGCTTGCTCAATAATATTCAAACCGAGCCTTTTTCGCAGCCCGTGTATCGATTTCAGTCGGCCAGAAGATCCCAGTAGATCGAACGGGCACAATTTAGTCGAATCGCGACGTTGGTATTGCTTGGATCGATTGGATCGAAGTTTCATCCCTTCTAGACGGTTTGCATGTGTGGATTACCTTTGTGTACTGTGCAACAAGTATTGTCATTTCATTGATTCCTTCTGCGACTCCATGCAGTTATACAAGAGGGTATTATCCGTGCTCGGAATCACTGATTATTGTATTCGTTATGGTACTCCAAAGGGTTTGTGTGTAAGTACGTTGGACAGTTTGAAAATTGAAATATCAGGGGATTTGGAAATCGGTAACTTTAGATGTTGGAAGCTTTACAGATTGAGAAATTGAGAAATTGAGAAATTCAGAAATTGTGGTCTTAGAAAATTCATGACTTGGGAAGTTGAAAACTTGGAAGCGCAGAAGCGTGACAGATTGAGAAACTGGCAACCGAGGAAATTAGAGAATTGAGAAATTGTAAACTTGAGAGCTTGGAAGCTCGGAAGATAGGGAAATGTCAAAATGAAAAATTGCAAAATCGAGCAATTAGGAAATTAGGAAATTGTAATACCGAGCAACTCGGAAATTACTAAATCAAGAAAACTGAGAAACCAAGTAACCGAAAAATCGGGAAGTCGTGAAATTTCGATCAAGTACCGTGGATCATCAAGCGCAGTAACGCGGATAATCACGATCCGTCCTACCGGCGGTTCGATCAAACCCTCGGCTGGTTCCGATTAATTTTCTACACGCGTCGGCGCCCGCGGCTGCCGATTGAGCGTCCGGAACGCCGGGTATCGAGCTTTGCCGGCGGTATCGCAATTTTTCAACGTCGTCGAAAAGCGCGTAACGAGATTACGTCGCACGGCTATTCACCGGGATTGACGTTCTGTTACGGAGGGGGAATACATTTCGCTCGTGGTCGTTGTTTAAAGTCAAACTGCGCGGAATAAACTATGTACAACGACGGGGGAGTTAAGAATCGAGGGAAAAGGAGCGAATGGAGCAGCGGCCGCTCGATTATTGAGCAGCGGGTATCGACACACCGCGGCGAACAATGGGCACGTTGGCCCGGCCCGAACGCCCTACCTCGTCCACCCTGAATAACCAATGAATTCGAGAGACAATAACGTCGGTAATAAAAGCTCCTCCAACAGAAGGTGTGGACGGAGCTGGCAGCCTTTCAACGCGCAGGAAAAAATAATGGAAAAACCCCGGCGCACGCGAACGACACCGGACACGCGAAAGACAGGCCAGAAATCCTTGGCAATTGTAATTAATCGATCACCGGCAATTCAATTGGTCGCGCTGAAATATTTCCTACTTCGGAACGATTAAAAAACCAACCTCTTGATTTCCCGTACGAGAACGACCGGCCAATATACGCGCGGCGGCCAGTATCGAAAAACAATTCCGAACGATTCGAAACGTTCCAGCGGTTTACCTGGCTAGGAATCTATGCGATGGGAACTTGTCGGGATCCACGCGCTGCGTTAGAGTATCCGACGACTAGGGGGGCTAGTTCGCTGGCAGTTCATCGTTTCCCTGATTGATTTTGTCGGTTCTCAGTCTTCTTGCGTGACAGTTGGCTGGACTTTCGCTTTCTAGCTTCGTCTCTCTATCTTCTTATCTTTACTTCTCTATTCTCCTATCTTTCCCTCTCTGTCTCTCTGTTATTTTATTTCTCTGCTTTCTATCTGCCTGTTCCTCTATCTCTTTCTCCTTTTCCTCTAATTCTCTCTATCTTTTCGTCTCCTCCTTTTCTTCGATTTCCCTCCTTCGTTCCTCTCTCACAAATTCCTTATTCCTCCCTCTTTCGTGTCTTTTTTTCTATTTATGTCCTCTTTCTCCTTTCCTCCGGGGACGCGTGCCGCGCGAAATTCCGAGCAACAGCTATCAAGATGAAACGTTCACCGGCTCTCCGAACGCGACTCCACGGTTCAAGAAACGTTTCCAAGGGGTAGTTTCCTGCACACGCGAGCCGGTGGTCGCAGGTAAATGCTCGCTAAACTTCCCTCGATCCCATCTGACCGATACCGATCGCGGAACACGTTTCCTATTTGTTTACTGCCGCCGCGACACCGTTTCTCCTTCCGTCAGATCGATCCTGCCTCACCGAATCGATGCACACACAAACAAACGCGCACAGGTAGCCGTTGATCTTCTTTGTGCGCCGCGTCGCGCCGACGTTCCGCCCTCGCCCGTGTCCGTGCTGCGTCGGAGAACTCGTCGACGCCGGTTCGTCGATCCCGTTCCCTTAAAATCAAGTCACGTCCTCGGATGCCTGCGTGCGGCCGAGTTTCTCCTATTCTTCTAACCGTGTGCCATTAATCCAGTGATCCACCGCCTCCAGCGGACCCCCGGGAGAACGTAATCGTCGTGCACTCGCTCGACATACAAAATTGAACTATTCAACCGGGCTCCCGCGTTTCTTCCGATTTTTAATTGGAACTCACGTTCATTGGACCTCGTATTTCTTCCGATCCCTGTCTTAAATGCTATTGTTGTTTACTTGAGTTCGGCAGTTATTGCGAAACACGATTCTTTGTTTCCGTGGTTTCGACTTTAACACTTTAACGTCCGGCCACGCGTTACCTCTGACGCGTGCTTGTAGAACTATTGATGTATATAATTTATATTCACCTATATCACAAGAATATATTTTTCTAATTTAGTCGGAATAACATATCCTTAATAACCGTATTAAGTATACCTTCTAAATCAATTTGCTTCGTATCAAAACAGAATTTCCACTAAACGTATTCATATACTACTAAGAGGTCACTTGATGGTTAGGCTGAGGAATTCTGATCGCAAGTTCTCATTTTTTACGCCCGATTTTCTTCTGCTGTCATTTCCTAATTTCTTATACTTTCCATTACTAATTTACCGAAACGGTCACGCTTAATCAATCAAAACTATAGAGATATATAACCTATATAAATTGGAAAGACACCCCTTGCCCCTGTGCCGTTCTACTATGACGTCAAGTCATCTCCCAACTATACGTTCGAGGTATCGGGGTATTTCGAACTCCGAAATTGCCGGGTGCTTAAGTGCTAATCACGTTGGAGGGTGCCGCTGACGACGGACGAGACACGACGGGACGGGACGTGACGCGATGAGAGAACCTCGTGCTCCCCGGCGGAAGCACGTTGACTCCGTATCTTGCGTGTTCGATCCGCGACGGCTTCGGGCCGACTGCCTCACGGAAACGCGGACTCTTGCCGCGCGCCACGCGGCTTGCGCTTGCGCCCCCGCCTATCGCATCCGTAATAAGCTTCCGATGCGTTCTCGATATCTCGCAACGGGCCGGTGTCTTGATTAACACGTTAAGCGCGGGCGTCGTTTCCTAGAGACGAACTATCAGCTTTAGGCGATGCACAGTGGAATATTCGTTCGATCTGGCTGGCCAAAAGTACATTTGAAAAATTTTACCTAAACCGAGACATTGTTGTTGCTTGAGGTAGTTGAATATGCAAGGAACAATGCCCAACAAATTTGTTTATCCTTGGAGCACTCGAAAAGTGCTGAGCTATGTCCGATGTTAGGCATTCTTCGACTACGCGTTTCACTCTGAAAATTTCTCTCTATACTTTCCATATATTTTGGAAAAATTGTACGAAATTTTCTTCGTACTAAATATTCATTATAATTTTAAAAATTAACGATTTCTCTTACATAGAAAAGATTCTTACAATTTTTATAAGAATTACTTGTTAACGTTGGAATTACCGTAACAGTCAAAATGACCGGTTCCGGTTTTCTTGTTTCGCAATGATTTGTATCTCAGAAGCATTGAATGTTTGAAATAATTTTGAAAATATGTTAGTCGATAGTTTTTAATAAATAGATAGTCTCACTTGAATACTATAATGAATATTTGAAGGAACTGAAGATAATCTATTGTTACAAGTTTTATAAGGATTACACACTCATTATATTAAATGCTCCGTAGTTCTAATGTTAAGGAATTTTTTGGTGAATTTTGAAATGAATTTCATTGAAGCATTACGAAGAGAAGATTTTTTTCAAGCAAAAATAGCTCCGCGTTTAACGTGTTAGTCGACGGAAACGTTTAACGATTCAGCTGCTACCTGGAATTTTAGCTTTCCTTGGCACTGTTCCATCGTAATAATCGATTTAATATGTTGTTAATTTATGGTATTATGACTTCGTACCACAATATTACATATTTATATATCACACGATAATTTCTAGTAGTTTATTGCTGGAGAAAGTGAAGTAAAAAATAAGTTCTTTCTTTGTCATAGCATCGTTTCGGTCGTTCAATCTCTTCTGGCTCAGTCGCGTTCTCATTTTGGTCAAAATACAATATTGGATTACGGAATTTTAAATACTTCACATATCAGATTAGTATTTCTGTTTTCTCAGTAATAATGCTTCAAACGTGTACACAAATGAGGACCACAACAACGTTAAGGAACCGACATCAGACTTCTCGGCCTGACTATCGCTACACCGCGTCTCCTTTCGGAATCCAGACCCTCCAGGTTCGAGAAGTTCGTGTTTATACTCCTTCCAGCGCGAAGTTTCTCTGTTCCCGGTTGTTGGGACCAATGTGATCGACCGACGCAATGAGATGTAAAGTTTCCTTTGAGACGCGGGAGATATTGCGAGTCGTGGGAAGATATTGAAGTGTCGGGAATATTTCGTTCCAGCGATCAATCGAGGCGTCTGTGCTCCAGTAATTTTTTGAACGGGCCTCCTATTTTATCGCGGAGCAAACATCCCGCCTCGATAATTTTTCGAGAGTGGACATTTTAACTAGGACTCGGTGGAAAGAGTTATTGTCATTGCTCTCGTCACAAGGTGTATCGTTATTTTAGATAGATATCTGCTTGGATACTCTACAGATATCATTATTAAGAAATTTAATTATTTTATTTGAAAAAGAAAGATTCCTTGAAGAAAGCAACATTGCTCTCTAAAGAATACTTCAAAAATTAAGGACCCTAAAACAGGAAAGAGAATTTTTCAAAGAAATCAACACCAATCTTAAAAGAACCGTGTCAAAGTTGATTCTAGTTACAGGATTAGTACCAGGCACATCTGGCTGCGAGTTCCATGTGGAACGGTAATGCACTCGTGATGCACCGATTAGGCTGTTTAAAATTTACGAGGGCTGAAACCCTTGGTTCGCTTACGCTCGCTCATTAATAATTCCGATAATAAACTGATGGGAGTTGTATCGCGGGGGAAGCATATTTCAATCAGCGAGTGTCAGGTGGCGGCGCGAGGGGTTAAATAAGGTGCTCACCCTTAAATCACGAGAAACTCGATGAGATTTACGAGTCCGTACTTTCGCGGAGACTGTTATTCTAATGTTATTCTTGTTATTCTAATAACTCAGTCGCTTGCAGGTTTAGCCCTTTCGTCGCTGAATATGTACCATTTTATGAAGAAATTTTGTGAAGAATGACTTACGGCTGTGGACTAATCAACTAAAACACATGTATTGACAGCTGATTAGCACTTAAGTTATCAGCTATTAGCAAAAATGTGGTACAATTGCTCTTTATCTAAGCGTTTTCTAGTTTTCCGGTAATTTAAAATGTTCGTGGTACCTAAATATACCATTTGGGAGGAAAGGGTTCAGTAACGTTGCTTTAGGAACTATAATATTACCTTGGGAACTGTTGGTGGAAATGGCAATAAAGAGTTAGGATTCAATCACCTTGGGATATATAGTATCGCATTGGTGCCTGCACTATCGGGAACTACATACTGCTTTGGGAACTGCAATATTGTTTTGTGAAGTACAATATTGTCCTGGAAATTGCAGTATGTCGCGTTAGGAACTACAACGTTGCTTTGGAAACTACAACATCACATTGGGAACTGCATAGTGTCTTAAGAATTTTGCTGGGAATTTCAATAGAAAATTGAGATCTGGTCTCTTTGGAATCTACAGAATTCCTTTGGGGACCTGCAACGTTGCTTTAATAGTTACAATAGTGCTTTACAAACCATAGTTGAAAAATTCAATAGAAAGCTGAGATTTAGTCGCTTTGGGGTTTACGAAATTGCTTTAGGGGGACCTACAGTGTTGTTTTAAAAACTACAATAGTACTTTACAAACTATAGCTGAAAATTTCAATAGAAAATTGAGATTTGGCCGCTTTGGAATCTACAGAATTCCTTTGAGGAAATCTACAGTGTTCCTTCGGAAAGCGTCGTTTTAAAAACCTACAATAGTTCTTTACGAACTATAATTAGAAATTATAATAAGAAATTAAGGTTCAATTACTTTGATATCTACAATATCCCAATGGCACCTAGAGTATTGTTTCAAAAACTACATATCGCCTTCAACAATACAATTTCGATAAAAAAATCGAAACTCGCTTACTCTATCTACAGTTTCATCCCAACGAACCTACGTTAATCGTTTTAACAAATAAATATCTCAACAAAAAACAGAGAGGAGCACGCAGGATCTCTCCAGAGACTCTGGAAAAAGCTGAAGGGCTGCTCGCGAGTCGCTTTCCTGGGTAGGCAGTGAAAGTGGGTCGCTGGACTTTTGTTTTTACGGTTGATTACGCGGATGAAGCGCGAATTCAGAAGAAGGGAACTTCTCGTTGTTCTTATTCGCTTGCGGCGTTGCGTTGTTCTCCGTTTGCTCATATATCTTCCATCCACTCCGGACAGCGCGCCGGGAATATGTGCGCTGATAAGAATATATCTTCTTTAAAGCGCAATATTTTGAAATACATGGCCCGTCCCGGCGTTCCGCGAACTTCCGAGCTTCCCTCGGCCGAGGAAAAACTGGAGGAAAGTATGGAGGAAAGCTGGCCTGCGTGTCGGACGCCCTCAAGTATATTTATACAGGTCGATAGAGAAATGAAGATCCATGAGTTCCGGGCACCGTTGTACTCAAGATGAATGGAACAAGGTTAACCCTTGTTTGTCGCTATTTTTCTCTGCTTCTGTTCGGTACACCCTATATCGAATCGGTACAATGACGAACAAACAGTTCGACGATCCTTCTGTTGAAAATAGAAAAACGGTATTGGAAAATGTCAACCGGAAAGCTTGCAATGAAATTATCTCGTCGTTGCCGAATAATAAATTAAACAGTATCTAATAATAACGCATCGAGCAAAGTATATTCCGCTATTATCGATCCATTCGCTACCAGCGTTTCTTTCAATAACAGTCCCTGTGGTTAGAATATTTGATGAAACTTCTATAAGCCGAATCTTTTACTATAAAAAGATACATGTGGTGTAACATTAAGAAATATCAACCTGTAAATACAAATTAACAATGAATATACGTGATTTTGAAATTACAATGACGTTGAAATTTCACGTCTGAGCGTATCAAAGTTTAAGTTAATTAATCACTTCATTTTATTCACTACTTTGCTAGGAGAAATGAAATAAACAACAGATTTCCAATATATTGGTACGTGATTTAAAAGTCACGGTTCAATGGAGAGTTAAACAGAACATATCGTCTTCACAAAGTGTAAATAATAATTAATAAAACAAGTCTGCATAACTTCCTCCGCGTTATACCATGCGTTACAATATTACATGAAAACACACGTAAATCCAATTATTTCTTCTTCGCACAACATACGAAACAGTTGCAAATATACGTCGCCGGCGGACGCGTTAATTCACATTTAGTAAATCTCGTCGAAGCCAACATGATAAACGATCGACAATCAATCACCATGGACCCTACATTCAATTCTGAACAGACTCAACGAACCTCTTCTATTCATGAATGTTTCACATCGCTTGGTACTTTATCTTTTATAAAAGAACTCCTCAAACTCCTGTCGATCAACTGGTATAACAGGTTGGCTGGCATCAGTTTTCTTATTCTTCCGGGGATACAGGTTCAGCAGCACAATTTTTGCCGCGTGTAGAGCAATTAACGTGCCATCGATCCGCTAATGATGCGTTTAGTGTCGCGGTAACGTGTTATCGCATCCCGTCTATCTTCCGTTTCCGTTGCGAAGTTCAATTCCCATGGCGTGTTCCCGTGACGATACGAACGCGACAAAGCGGGCCTCTGTGCGTGCGGGGCACGCAACACTCCGTGAAACAGCGCGGAATTACTCGAAACGGGCTGGGATCCGATGTCCTCTGCCACGCGCGCGCTTATTCCGTGACATCGAAACCGCTTGTCGCATATTCGTCGGTGACGTATGA